ACATGAACAAACTGAATTCGATCAGATAGATAAGATTTAAACCAGTCTAGTGCTGTTCCTTTAATTCCAACAAAATATTCAAGTCTTTCTAAAAGAATATTATGGTCAACTGGATCAAATGCAGCACTAAGATCCAACAGGACGAGCACAGATACAAGTCCATTATCTGAGGCCATGAGAATATCATTAGTGACTTTCACCAGAGCTGTTTCAGTGCTATGATGAGCTCTAAAGCCAGACTGAAACTCTTCAAAAAGTTCATTATGGTGGAAGTGACTGCACACTTGTTTGGCAACTACTTTCTCAAGAATTTTGGATAAGAAAGGAAGATTGGATATAGGTCTATAATTGACCAAGTCATCTGGGTCAAGAGACGGTTTCTTAAGCAGAGGTTTAATTACAGCAACCTTAAAAGCTTTAGGTACATATCCCTGTAACAGAGATAGATTAATCACATCTAAAATGGAGGAGGAGATCAAAGGGAATACCTCCTTAAATAACCTGGTTGGAACTGGATCTAACATACAAGTTGAAGGCTTAGATGAAGACAATAATTTTGCTAATTCAGAAAGTTCAACTGGATCAAAGCAGTCTAAACCCGGTTCAGATTCCATGACTACCTCAGGTACAATCGCGGATAGAGGAGTGCTTATGATCTTATTTTTAATAAGATCAATCTTATTTATAAAGAATCCCATAAAATCATTGCTGCTAAGAGCAGGTGGAATGGACGGTTCAACAGAGCTCCATCCATCCATCCATCCATCCTTCCATCATCCATCCATCCATCCTTCCATCATCCATCCATCCATCCATCCATCATCCATCCATCCATCATCCATCCATCATCCATCCATCCATCCATCATCCATCCATCCATCCATCATCCATCCATCAACCATCCATCATCCATCCATCATCCATCCATCATCCATCCATCCATCATCCATCCATCCATCCATCATCCATCCATCCATCATCCATCCATCATCCATCCATCCATCATCCATCCATCATCCATCCATCATCCATCCATCCATCCATCCATCATCCATCCATCCATCATCCATCCATCATCCATCCATCCATCATCCACCCATCCATCCATCCATCCATCATCCATCCATCAACCATCCATCCATCCATCCATCCATCATCCATCCATCCATCATCCATCCATCCATCCATCCATCCATCCATCATCCATCCATCATCCATCCATCCATCCATCCATCCATCCATCATCCATCCATCCATCATCCATCCATCATCCATCCATCCATCATCCATCCATCATCCATCCATCATCCATCCATCCATCCATCCATCAACCATCCATCCATCCTTCCATCATCCATCCATCCATCCATCCATCCATCATCCATCCATCCATCATCCATCCATCATGGATCAGAATAGAGATCATGGCCTCAGACTTCACGATGCTGATCTTAATCCTCACAACTTCCTGCTCAGTTAAACCTGCAGGAGGTTCATCCATGAGAAGAACTTCTCCAGCTTCAGCTTCTCTCCCTGTTCAGTCTCTGAATTATTGTTCTGAAGCTGATGAGTCTGTGATTCCAGGTTTGGATTAAACCCAAAGTTAAAGTTAAACCGTCTGCTTTCCTGCTAAAAAACTGCTGAAGATGATGATGAAGATGAGTGCAGTATATGGATGGGGCCAATAAATGGGTGAGGAACAGTGAGCGCTGACCTCTTCCTCCTGCTGCAGGTGGAGACATTTCATAACGCTGCCGCTGCTCACGGCGGGCGCTCATTAACAGGAGCCCACTGGTGTTCACCTGAGCTGAAGTGGGCCAAGCTGGACCACTGAGTGTGTGTGAAGCCCGGACTAATGGGCTCTCTGCTGGAGACATCATTACATGACTGAGTGACACAGCTTTCTGCGCTCATTTCCCCAAACTAAACACACAAAGCAAACATTTCTCAGCCTCATTTGGAAAAAGATGTGGAGGAAAAACGTTGAGAGACGGACGCCCCTCAGAATAGAGAATAAAATGCAGAACACAGAATAGGAAAAGAAGCTAAAACCACATTTCATTACATTCATGATCAGTTCCTCACTTTATGTATTAAAAATAAAATTTAAATAAAGAAATGAAGAAATATGAAGATTTTCAAAATTATAAAGAACATTTAATTGATCTCTGATTAAAACAGTTTTAACATGAATTTTCTGTAGTTTAGAAAATTAACAGATTTAAAGACTATTTTCATTTTATTAGTTGAATCTTCTTACTTTTTACGTCTAAGTTAAAAAAGGAACAAATCAAGTCATAAAAGAAACCAACAGAAAAGGAAATCAGAAGTAGAAACGTGATGATCTATTCTGTGTCGTAAACTTTTCCCTTTAAATGAGCAGAAACATCAGAACCATGAGGTGAAAAAATCCACTGAAGGCAAACGGGGATTCTCCCTGATTATGGGATGCTGGGCCGCACACACATTCTGCTTTTACTATATGTAGTGAGGACCGCCTTCCTGTTTCCCTGAAACAGCTGGATGTCCTCACTTTGAGGCCAAAACAGAAGCACACACACACAGACTGTAAAACAAAACCAAAACACAGTTTGAGACGACAGGTGGTTGCTATGGAAACCACTGGGGGATTGGACTCGTGAGTGAAAGCTGCTTCCAAACCAGGATGACCCCCCCAGGTTACTGCTGTTTACCTGTGGCTCTTTGTGGGTCCTTGAATTTCCATCAGAAACTCCTGAATGTTCTGCAGAAAAAAGAAAGAAAAACCCACAAAAAAAAAACATGATTAGAACTGAGTCAGAGCGAAAGACTTGCCGCTCTGAGGGACTCGCCGCTCTGAGGGACTCGCCGCTCTGAGGGACTCGCCGCTCTGAGCGACTCGCCGCTCTGAGCGACTCGCCGCTCTGTGGGACTCGCCGCTCTGAGAGACTCGCCGCTCTGAGGGGAGGGACTCGCCGTTCTGAGGGACTCGCCGCTCTGAGGGACTCGCCGCTCTGAGGGACTCGCCGCTCTGAGGGGAGGGACTCGCCGCTCTGAGGGGAGGGACTCGCCGCTCTGAGGGACTCGCCGCTCTGAGCGACTCGCCGCTCTGTGGGGAGGGACTCGCCGTTCTGAGGGATTCGCCGCTCTGAGGGACTCGCAGTTCTGAGGGACTCGCCGCTCTGAGGGGAGGGACTCGCCGCTGTGAGGGACTCGCCGCTCTGAGGGGAGGGACTCGCCGCTGTGAGGGACTCGTCGATTTGAGGGACTTGCCGCTCCGAGGGACTCGCCGCTGTGAGGGACTCGCCGCTGTGAAGACTCGCCACTCTGAGGGGAGGGACTCGCCGCTCTGAGGGACTCGCCGTTCTGAGGGACTCGCCGTTCTGAGGGACTCGCCGCTCCGAGGGACTCGCCGCTCTGAGGGACTCGCCGCTCTGAGGGACTCGCCGTTCTGAGGGACTCGCCGCTCCGAGGGACTCGCCGCTCCGAGGGACTCGCCGCTCCGAGGGACTCGCCGCTCTGAGGGACTCGCCGCTCTGAGGGACTCGCCGTTCTGAGGGACTCGCCGCTCCGAGGGACTCGCCGTTCTGAGGGACTCGCCGCTCCGAGGGACTCGCCGCTCCGAGGGACTCGCCGCTCTGAGGGACTCGCCGCTCTGAGGGACTCGCCGCTCTGAGGGACTCGCCGCTCTGAGGGACTCGCCGCTCTGTGGGGAGGGACTCGCCGTTCTGAGGGATTCGCCGCTCTGAGGGACTCGCAGTTCTGAGGGACTCGCCGCTCTGAGGGGAGGGACTCGCCGCTGTGAGGGACTCGCCGCTCTGAGGGGAGGGACTCGCCGCTGTGAGGGACTCGTCGATTTGAGGGACTTGCCGCTCCGAGGGACTCGCCGCTGTGAGGGACTCGCCGCTGTGAAGACTCGCCACTCTGAGGGGAGGGACTCGCCGCTCTGAGGGACTCGCCGTTCTGAGGGACTCGCCGTTCTGAGGGACTCGCCGCTCCGAGGGACTCGCCGCTCTGAGGGACTCGCCGCTCTGAGGGACTCGCCGTTCTGAGGGACTCGCCGCTCCGAGGGACTCGCCGCTCCGAGGGACTCGCCGCTCCGAGGGACTCGCCGCTCTGAGGGACTCGCCGCTCTGAGGGACTCGCCGTTCTGAGGGACTCGCCGCTCCGAGGGACTCGCCGTTCTGAGGGACTCGCCGCTCCGAGGGACTCGCCGCTCCGAGGGACTCGCCGCTCTGAGGGACTCGCCGCTCTGAGGGACTCGCCGCTCTGAGGGACTCGCCGCTCTGAGGGACTCGCCGCTCTGAGGGACTTGGACACCTTGGCCGTTGCAGCAGAGCTCCCACCTGAAGCCGACCTTTCATCAAAGTTTACATCCAGTTTCTGCTAAAATCTACCTGAGTGAAGTTGCCCCCCCCACCTTCTTCAAATCAGACAAAATTAGTGAAAACGTTTGTGCAGCAAAAATTTTTGTTTGTGCCACTATCGTTTTAAAGATATAAAGAGATGTTTCTAGAGGTCATCAAAGGTCCACCCCCCCCCCAACTTTCTTTAAATCTTCAAATCCAAAGCAGCACAAACAAAAATTTTTGCTGCACAAACGGAGCTGAGTTAATTGACACCTATGTCATCTGATTTGAATAAGGTGGGGGGGGCTGGTTGACCTTTGATGACCTCTAGAAATATTTCTTTATATCTTCAAAACGACAGCAGCACAAAAGAAAAATTTTGCTGCACAAACGTTTGACACTAATTTTGTCTGATTTGAAAAAGGTGGGGGGGCCAACGTCACTCAGGTCTGAAATCTCTCACCTCCACGAAGCTCAGCAGCTTTCCTGTCGACATCTCTAAGCCCTGATTGGCCGCCTCGCTCTTCCGCAGCTGACACTCCAGGATGGCCACCTTCTTCCTCAGCTCCTCCGATTCCTCCTGGGTTAAAGTTAAAAAGAAAATCCATCTGAATCTCTCCACAAAGTTAGACCTAAACATCAGCGAGAGTTTCTTTCCATTGCTGAGACTCTGGGTTTGTGATGTTCTAGATCTGGGATTCTAGGTCACCGACCTTCTTGGTCGTTCCTGGATGCTCCATCCTCTGAGTCTTCAGCTCAGCGATTTCGGCCTCCAGCAGGTGGATGACCTCCTCATAGTCCATCTCCATCCCCCTGGCTTGTTTCTGAGCCTCCTCAGCCAGCTGGATCTTGGTCTTTAGAGCCCGACTCTCTTCTGCTCCAACTTCAGCCTCCTGCAGAGTTCAGGGAAAGAGGAAGAGCAGGACTTTAGGTGGATCTTAAATCTCCCCAGGTCTGAGGAAGGTTCATTGAATCAGCAGGCCGTTGGGCCTCTGGAGATCTGCCAGATGTCAGCGTTAGAAAAGCAGCCTCAGTGCAGGATGACCAACATTCGTCTTTATTAACAGGAAAAATCCTGGGAAATAAAGCAGGTTTAGAGGTCGTCTCCTGAGGTCAGGATGTAATCAAATCAGCAGCAACACAAAGAGCACCACAGAAACCCCTCAGCTCATCATTCAGACACTTTTCATTCTCTCTTTCTGGTTTCTTCTGTTGCCCCTGGTTACGCCTCTGAGCTGATTCCCAGCCTGAGAGTACGATGCAGCGACTAAAGACCAACTTCCAGCTGAGATGAACCCCAGAGGACTGGCAGCTCTGGAAAAGTTTTAGAAGGTCAGGTATATGATGTTCCAAAACAGTTAAAATCAATCCTCTGGACTTTGTTTCTAAGTTTGAAGACGTTTCTCTTCCATCAAGGAAAATTTTTCTATTAAAAATATATACAGCAGCCCAACAAAGCCTGGTTTTAGTTTAGAAAACATGCAAATAGAAACGGATGAACGGGTCCCCCCCTTTGGAATGGGGGCCGTTTGGCTTCTTTGTTAGCCTGCAATGCCCCATACCTGTCTATGTCTCTAAAGGGGGGTCGTTAGAGGGAATTGCTGGATGTTCTGTTCCCCTGTAAAGGTATCTTGGAAGAATGGAAATAGATAGATGATGGAGCTCCTGTTATAAAGCCAATGCTGCTCCACTGTGTTGAGGTGAAAAGAAAGCTGAGCAAAAAGGCAAAGTTCTCAGTTTATTGGTCATAATATCTGGATCATCACTGATCTTTTGCTCAATAGCTTCCAGGTCATGTGACCAATTGACTTAAATAATGTGTTGGATCATAGCACTCCATTGCCTTCAAAAGTTGCACCTTTTATTTGTGTGTGATCATATCAGGAAGAGACATAGTCAGGTATGGGGCATTGCAGGCTAACAAAGAAGCCAAACGACCCCCATTCCAAAGGGGGGGGCCCGTTCATCCGTTTCTATTTGCATGTTTTCTAAACTAAAACCAGGCTTTGTTGGGCTGCTGGATAAAACCTGGAACTAAACGCTATTTCTGACATTTGGAATTGAAAAATCTTCCTGGATGGAAGAGAAACGTCTTCATACTTGGAAACAAAGTCCAGAGGATTGATTTTAACTTTTTTAGGAATGACTCTGGATGACTGAGGATCTTCACCAGCAGGTATATGAGGGATTATAGAGGTTTATCTTCATAACAATGTGAGTGACTAATAAAGATGAGCAGGAAAAGTCTTTGGTGCTGAGGCTGGTTCTCCTGAAAAAGGAGCTGTCTGATCTACTTTCTATAGTTCTAGTGAGGACGCAGGCAGCTGAGTTCTTCTGATCTACTCTGAAGGTCCAGATCTAGAGCCTGGTTGCTGCTTTCTAGCTGGATTAGCCGAAGCTGGATGCTAACTTTGAAAAACTCTTCCTTTGTTTTAGCCAAATATCTCTTAGTTGTTCTGTGAAGGTTCTCAGTAGAGATAAAATCATCTGCCAAGGTTTCTGCTCAGAGAGAAGACGTCATTCTGAACAAGCAAAGCCATAACAGCTAAGCTGCGTCTGCAACATGAGGCTTTGATTCTACTTGGAAAAATCTGGACACAGCAACATTTTCACGTTACTGAGGTCTTTCCTTCTAAACACAACGACTAGCTGTTTTTCTGACACCAGATAAAACCTATGATGATAGAGATGATTATGTTATATCTTTAGGTTTCAGTTTCACAGAGATCTATTTAATGATCCATGGATGCCTGGAAGTGATTAGCTGGGCTGGAAAAGGTGTAAATTCATTAGAGGTTTATTATTTCTGCAGCCTTGCAGCAGTGAACATGGTAACCAAACTCGTCCTGCAGAGATGGCATATGCACAGAAAACTAACAGGACTCACAGGAAGGGAAAAATAGAGTTTTCCTAATTAGACCTGGAAACATGGAGGGACAGGAAGTCCATCTGTTACTCTCTCCTTCCCCGCAGGGCTGCTTATGTCTCTAAACCTTAACAAGCTGCTGCGTAGCAAACGTCTGTGTCTGTGAGCGCAGCTCGGGTCGGCAGAGCGTCCAGCGAGCTTTCAAAGGGCCGATCAAAGCCCCCAAACTGACCCTGAGAAGAAATAAGATGAGAAGATTGCTGCTGCCAGCAGAGGTCGCTGTGGAGCACCGTGTGCATTAATAAAAAAAAGGATTTATTGCTTCATTTACATTTCAGAAATGAAGCAATGCCTCGGTCAGCCTGCAGACACGATGTGAATGCTGCAAACGGAGCAAAGACTGGCTGCTCTCTAAACCCCACCAGGCATAAACCCTTCAGCGCCCATCATCATCATCCTCAGTCCTAATGACCTCTCTGACCTCTGGAACATCTCCCTCTGCAGCTCAGGGGAAGAAAGAAGCTCCCTCTGGGTTTTCATTTACCGTAAAATAAAAACAACAAATACAATAACAGGAGATAAAAAAAAGCAGTTTTTTTCAGTATCATGAACCTGAAGTGGAGAAATGAGAGAATAAATATTTTCTTCAGTTTCTGCTCCGGATGTCCAACCAACAGATCGCAAACATCCTGCCGGAGCCTTCGCTGTTTCTCTATATCTGTTAGCCGAGTCTAAATCTAGATATCGATCTGATTACGCAACGCAGAGAAGCGGAGAGGCAGCGAAGTGGGAGCGGACGAGGCCGAGACCCTTCAGCTGTGAATCAGAGCAAACAAACGGGAGGAGGAACTATTTTAGAGCCCCAAAGATGAGCGAATGGAGGCCTCACCCTGCTGCTGCTGCTGAGTGGGTGCAACTCCGCTTCCCACTCACACACACTCATCTACTGAAGCCTGTATTCCTGTGCAGTGTGTGTGTGATGGGGGAACAACTCAAGATCTATTTTTACAGACCATGAAGATACTAAATACTTTTTATCCTGCCTGCTGCCAGGGGTGGATTTAGGAAATTTGGGGCCCTGGGCAAAGACAGGCAGACCCATTCTCCAGATATAGAAAGGTTAATAGAATAGACATCCATTCTCTGTTCTAGGTTGTGTCCCTCTCTTCTTGTCCCTTTTCTTCTTGTTTTCCTCTCTATGTTTTGTACTCAGCTGACTTTTCATGCTGTCTCTAAAGGAATGAAAGATTTTTTCCAAGCACTAAGCTCACTTAGCTGATTGCTCCTTCCTGTGTTTCCAAAAAGGCCAAAGTAAATAACCCAGTCCTTCTTTTCACTGTAGACAAGCCATGATCTGCTTATCTGTTCTCCATTTTTCATTTGGATGAAATAATAGCTGCATGAATCATGACAGCAGACAAGATAGAGGAGAGCAGGAGGCGGGGTTACCAATCTACTCGCTCTGGAGAGCAGAGTTCGCTGCTTTTAGATGTTGTCTCCAAAGTCTCCAGTAGCAGAAAAAAGTCTCTAGATTTGGCGCTAGGAGCTTTTTAGAAATCAAAGTGCTAGAGGGTCTGAAAAGTGGCTAAATATAGCGACTAAAGCGCTAAGTTGGCAACACTGCTCTTTGCATGGTTTGTTTTCAAATGGTTTGCTGCTGTCTGTTTGGACCTTTCTGAACATGTGCAGCAAATGGACTGATCCAATATGGTGGACACTGAAGGGGGGGGGGCTGAGACACACTGAATATTATCAGCGTTCTGATGGCATTTTAGCCAAAGGATTTTTTATCAAAAACATAATTAATGTGCACAAATAAGGAATTGTTGTATTAAAAATACATGGAAAGAGAGTTTTATGGGGCCCCCAGGAACTTGAGGCCCTAAGCAGCTGCCTAGTATTTCCTAACGGTAACCAACCCGTCTCCTAACTTTTAGCGAAGCAGCTCCTGTTTAATGCTGCTTTCTGTCTCTCCTCCAATCACATAGCTACTCTGTACATCAGTGAAATGCGACCACCAATCAGATGTCTCAAAGAGACAGATCTGATGATGTCACACCGAGAGGCGGGACACAGCAACATCTGGAGAGAAGAAGAAAAACACGGACTCAAAACGTTCTGAATGACAGCTGCATCCAACCTCTGTTACCTTTGATAAAGTAAACGAGCAGAAAGGGGAGAATATTGATGGAGACTGTCCAATCCTTCAGAAAGTTACGCCTGTGACCTAAAATATAATATGTTTCTGGTCCAATCTTTAAAACTCAATGCTATTTCTGACATTTTGAATCTTAAAAAGTTCCTGGATGGGAAGAGAAACGTCTTCAAACTTGGAAACAAAATCTAGTGGATGTTTTTTAACTTTTTTGGAATGACTCTGACCTGGATGACTGAGAATCTTCACCATCAAACCTAAAAAATTTATATTTTTCATATATTCATTCGTTTATTCATGATTTATCAGACAAATCTGTTTATTTTGTAGCTTTAATCCTAACAGGAGCGTCTGTAGGAGAAACCTGATTGACTCCTGTGCAGCACGGAGAGTGGCCTCACATCACTGCAGGCTGTTAATGAGCTGAGGAGCTGTTACCCCACTCTAACTGATCTATTTCTGTGGGTGGGATCCCTGAGTCACTGGTTTCTCTATGAGGTTTTGGTTGATAAAGGATTTATTTTTGTCCGACCGTCTTTCATAACAACCCTTAAAAAAAAACATCCTTTTATAGAAACCTGAGATTAGATTGACCAGATGGAGGCGGTTCTAGGTGCCGTTAAAAAATCTGTTTTATTGACTAATTGAACATTTTAGTCCACGGCCTGCAGGCCTCTTCCAGCCCCGCATCCGTAGCATCAGGTTGATGGTTAACCAGTCAGCTACAAACATCAATACGTCAAATATATAAACCAGCACTTTAAGCGCTGCAGGCTGGCAGCAGCCTGCTGTCATCCGGTAGATCGTCACCAGATTAACTTTTTCTGGAGCTAAACATGTAAATTTCCTTCTTTCTTTTAACATCAGGAGCCTCTTTTAAATTGAATGACCTACAGATATTCTGAAGTCTGATTTAATGATATTTGGAGCTTCTGGCAATACTAGGCAGCTGCTTAGGGCCCCAAGTTCCTGGGGGCCCCATAAAACTCTGTTTACATGTATGGTTAATACAACTATTCCTTATTTGTGCACATTAATTATGTTTTTGGCTAAAATGCCATCAGAACGCTGATAATATTCAGTGTGTCTCAGCCCCCCCCCCTTCAGTGTCCACCATATTGGATCAGTCCATTTGCTGCACATGTTCAGAAAGGTCCAAACAGACAGCAGCAAACCATTTGAAAACAAACCATGCAAAGAGCAGTGTTGCCAACTTAGCGCTTTAGTCGCTATATTTAGCCACTTTTCAGACCCTCTAGCACTTTGATTTCTAAAAAGCTCCTAGCGCCAAATCTAGAGACTGTTTTCTGCTACTGGAGACTTTGGAGACAACATCTAAAAGCAGCGAACTCTGCTCTCCAGAGCGAGTAGATTGGTAACCCCGCCTCCTGCTCTCCTCTATCTTGTCTGCTGTCATGATTCATGCAGCTATTATTTCATCCAAATGAAAAATGGAGAACAGATAAGCAGTTCATGGCTTGTCTACAGTGAAAAGAAGGACTGGGTTATTTACTTTGGCCTTTTTGGAAACACAGGAAGGAGCAATCAGCTAAGTGAGCTTAGTGCTTGGAAAAAATCTTTCATTCCTTTAGAGACAGCATGAAAAGTCAGCTGAGTACAAAACATAGAGAGGAAAACAAGAAGAAAAGGGACAAGAAGAGAGGGACACAACCTAGAACAGATAATGGATGTCTATTCTATTAACATTTCTCTATCTGGAGAATAAGGCTGTTTTATATGTTGTCTTCTCCATTCAGAGGGGCCCCCTGCCTGTCTTTGCCTAGGGCCCCACATTTCCTAAATCCGCCCCTGACTACATAACAGCATAAAGTATCAGTGGAGGAGAAACTGTTTGTGTGGATTTATGCAGCAGCTGAAACTGTGGATTTCTCTTGTCTCATATATTTAGTTATTTTATTTATCCAGTGAAAAATGTTTTTACCTGCAAGAATGACAAAATGTCTGAGTGAGAATTTAAACAAAACATATTTATTCCCACGACCAGCCAAATATTTCTCAGGGTTTGTTAAAGTGTGTTTAACCCTTGTATTTACACAGTGCGGGTCATTTTGACCCGCACTGTGTAAATACAAGCAAAATAGTCAAGAAAACAGGTTAAACCAATAACCAATTTATTTTAGATTACTTAAACATTAAGTCAAGTGACAAACCATACAGTTTTATTTCACACACTTTATTTAGGTTTAAAATGTTCCCTCTTCACAAATTTTGTTTTTTGAAATTTAGCTTTAAAATTCGCTAGTTACTAATATTTTGAACATTCAACAATTTTAAAGTTCTCCAAATGATGGGAAGAATGTAACTGCTTTTTGCAGATGGAATTCATACATTTCACACAAGATGTACTTGTTTTACTGTCCACTCTGGAGGGACAGAGCTGTGATCTTTTCCTCTTCTATTCACCCGTCTCCACTTTATGTTGGTTGGGTAGCGGGCAGTCTTGCCCTGGCAGCTGTATATTGCTGTGACTTTGTCCAGATTGTCAACTCCTCCTCTGGTTGAGTTATAATCCAGGATCATTTGTGCCTTCAAGTCCTTTCTTGTGCTCAGAGATATATCAGCTTGCATTATATTCATGATAAGAACCTTCTGTTCCCAACATGGTCAGCTTTCTTTTCTGAAGTTCTTCTCCAAACAGGTAGGACATAGAGGTTGTCAAAAGTGATGTTATGACTTGCAGCCCTTCACTCATATGCAGCATCACACACATCCCCTGATTCTTCTAAGCTTTTCCTCCAGATAGCTTTCCAGTATACAGTATACTTGCATATATCATGCATAGCTGGATTTTGCACCTCAGGTTGCCCATATTATGATATGGGCATTCTGAGCAATGCAGACTGAATCTCTTCAATTCATGTGATTGCAAATCTGGTAGGGCCAGGAGTTTTTATCAAATTAGCTGATGATAGTCTGCATCAACTCTGGTGTTGTGATGTTGTCACTCTTGCAGAAGATGATTGCCTCATTCCTGGGCTTTCATCTGTTCGGGGGATAATAGAAGACTCTTCCTCTGAGTCCATCTCATAGTAGGAGAATTGATAATGTGGGTCAACAACTTTGTCTTCTGATTCTGGAATATCCTCTGCCTTAGAAAACTCTTGCTCTACATCACTATCCAAGTTAAAAATTTGTGAAAAAGACTACTCAGCTGTAATCCTTCAGGAGCTAAGTTTTTGGTGAGTTTTTTCATATACAGGTGCTGGTCATAAAATTAGAATATCATGAAAAAGTAGATTGATTTCAGTAATTCCATTTAAAAAGTGAAACTTGTATATTATATTCATACATTACATACAAACTCATATATTTCAGATGTTTATTTTGTTTAATTTTGATGATTACAAATGACAACAAATGAAAATCTCAAATTCATCATATCAGAAAATTAGAATATTGTGAAAAGGTTCAAAATTGATGGCCCCTGGTGCCACACTCTAATCAGCTAATTAACTCAAACCACCTGCAAAAGCCTTTAAATGGTCTTTCAGTCTAGTTCTATAGGCTACACAATCATGGGGAAGACTGCTGACTTGACAGTTGTCCAAAAGACGACCATCGACACCTTGCACAAGGAGGGCAAGACACAAAAGGTCATCGCTAAAGAGGCTGGCTGTTCACAGAGCTCAGTGTCCAAGCACATTAATAGAGAGGTGAAGGGAAGGAAAAGATGTGGTCGAAAAAAGTGTACAAGCAAGAGAGATAACCGCACCCTGGAGAGGATTGTGAAACAAAACCCATTCAAAAATGTGGGGGAGATTCACAAAGAGTGGACTGCAGCTGGAGTGAGTGCTTCAAGAACCACCACACACAGACGTATGAAAGACATGGGTTTCTGCTGTCGCATTCCTTGTGTCAAGCCACTCTTGAACCACAGACAGCGTCAGAAGCGTCTTGCCTGGGCTAAAGAGAAACAGGACTGGACTGCTGGTGAGTGGTCCAAAGTCATGTTCTCTGATGAAAGTAAATTTTGCATTTCCTTTGGAAATCAAGGTCCCAGAGTCTGGAGGAAAAGAAGAGAGGCACTTCATCCACGTTGCTTGAAGTCCAGTGTAAAGTTTCCACAGTCAGTGATGGTTTGGGGTGCCATGTCATCTGCTGGTGTTGGTCCATTGTGTTTTCTGAGGTCCAGGGTCAACGCAGCCACATACCAGGAAGTTTTAGAGCACTTCATGCTTCCTGCAGCTGACCAACTTTTTGGAGATGCAGATTTCATTTTCCAACAGGACTTGGCACCTGCACACAGTGCCAAAGCTACCAGTACCTGGTTGAAGGACCATGGTATCCCTGTTCTTAATTGGCCAGCAAACTCTCCTGACCTTAACCCCATAGAAAATCTATGGGGTATTGTGAAGAAGAAGATGCAATACACCAGACCCAACAATTCAGAAGAGCTAAAAGCCACTATTAGAGCAACCTGGGCTATCATAACACCTGAGCAGTGCCACAGACTGATCGACTCCATGCCACGCCGCATTGCTGCAGTAATACAGGCCAAAGGAGGCCCAACTAAATACTGAGTGCTGTACATGCTCATACTTTTCATGTTCATACTTTTCAGTTGGCCAACATTTCTATAAATCCTTTGTTTTTATTGGTCTTCAGTAATATTCTAATTTTCTGATATGATGAATTTGAGATTTTCATTTGTTGTCATTTGTAATCATCAAAATTAAACAAAATAAACATCTGAAATATATGAGTTTGTATGTAATGTATGAATATAATATACAAGTTTCACTTTTTAAATGGAATTACTGAAATCAATCTACTTTTTCATGATATTCTAATTTTATGACCAGCACCTGTAGATGACGTGAGAGCAGTGACAAGAACTAGTGTAAGAAAGTTCCCTCCCTTACCACACCTGGGTCTGGGTCTCAGAGGCAAATGAAAAGAGTAAAGTACATCAAAGAGCCATTTTTATTTACCTGAATGGCTACTTACCCACATTAAAGTGTCGGGGTCAAAATGACCCATAACATCATATTTGTATACATACTCTGCACAGACACTCCACTACACATCAGAGTGGCCAGATTTTACATACATGTTCATGACCCCAGATGAGGAAAAGTCACCAAATTTCATGAAGAAAAAAAAAAGATAACCAGTACTTTGATCAACACAAAAACTGAAATGGGTCAAATTGACCCTTAACATAATATAAGGGTTAATTTGTTCTGACTGTGACCAACCTTCACAGTTTTTCCATCAACATAAGTAAGGTAGACAAACTGATTACGAAGGTCTGTATGATGAACTGTTCTCTCTTTGCAAAGATAAGAAAATAAAATGCAGACTGAGAGAAATTCATCGATCTCCGGTCATTAAACTGTGGTGAATGGTTGAATACTTTTTTCCCACTACGATACTCACCTGCCTGACCTTGCTGAGCTCCTCCTGCAGCTCGTGGTTAACCCTCTGCGACTCGACAAGCTGCTCCTGCAGAGGCGAGCAGCACATGTGGCTCAAACCTGGAACCCTTCCTGTTTAACAACCTTTTTTTCCTGTGGTTACCTGGAGAGTCTTGATCTCCTTCAGAGCCTCAATGTGCTCCTTCCTCAACTTCTCCATCTCCTCCAGGTCGTCTGAGTCCGACAGCGATGGCTGAACAAACATGGAGGAAATCAGAGGTGTAAAAAGATCCCAAAGCTTCGTCTGATTGGCTCTCGGACATTAAACCATCTTATATGTGTTCGTTATTTTTAGCTTTTCTTGGTTTCAGATTAACGATGTTAAAAACAAAAAGCTTATTTGTAAAATCGAGCTGTTAAGCCTGTAAAGATGAAAATGAGTCAGTGGGTGTTTTGGTCTAAAAGGTGATTCCCAGTCTGTTCCTTATCATCCTGAATGATGGAGGATTTCATTCTTAAAATGATGGAAATATGTTCAGTTTTTTAATCTGAAACTAAATGCAGGTTTCAGTTAACAGGTTTGTCTGATCAGCTGCCCTTCCTCTCATGCGGGGGGGGGGGGCTTTGTTACCCGGGGGTTTGTGGGAGACTCCAGCAGGCAGCAGAAGTCGTCCGACATGAATCTGGTGCTCGACTGGGTGCCGAACAGTTCCTCCAGCTGGGGCTTGAACAGTTCCCGGATCAGACTCTCAAAGTCTGAAAGTAGAAGCAAACAGAGAAGAAAGTTACATTCATTTGCCGCACTTCACAGATAAAAATCACAAAGTGCTTCACAGTAAAAATGTAATAAAATAAAGCAATGTAGAATATGTTGTACATCAACAATTTAAAAACAAATGGAAACATACAAACAAAGCGTCTAATTAAATGCCTGCTTAAATAGCAGCGGCTTTAGTTGCTTTTTAATAGAATCAACAGAATTCATACGACGTAAAGAAGAAGGCAAAGCTTTGAAACAGCCTCAGAGCCGCTGCCTGAAATGAACGACCCCTCTGGTCAAACTTTGTGATGAAAGTGGGTGGGGGCGCTCTAAGGGTGGGGGCGCTCTGAGGATGGGGGCGCTCTGAGAATGGGGGCGCTCTGAGGATGGGGGCGCTCTAAGGGTGGGCGCTGTGAGGGTGGGGGCACTCTGAGGGTGGGGCGCTCTGAGGATGGGGCGCTCTAAGGGTGGGCGCTGTGAGGATGGGGGCACTCTGAGGGTGGGGGCGCTCTGAGGATGGGGCGCTCTAAGGGTGGGCGCTGTGAGGATGGGGCGCTCTGAGAATGGGGGCGCTCTGAGGATGGGGGCGCTCTGAGGATGGGGCGCTCTAAGGGTGGGCGCTCTGAGGATGGGGGCGCTCTGAGAATGGGGGCGCTCTGAGGATGGGGGCGCTCCAAGGGTGGGCGCTGTGAGGATGGGGCGCTCTAAGGGTGGGCGCTGTGAGGATGGGGCGCTCTGAGAATGGGGGCGCTCTGAGGATGGGGGCGCTCTAAGGATGGGGCGCTCTGAGGATGGGGGCGCTCTGAGGATGGGGCGCTCTGAGGATGGGGGCGATCTGAGGATGGGGCGCTCTGAGGATGGGGCGCTCTAAGGGTGGGCGCTCTGAGGATGGGGGCGCTCTGAGAATGGAGGCGCTCTGAGGATGGGGGCGCTCTGAGAATGGGGGCGCTCTGAGAATGGGGGCGCTCTGAGGATGGGGGCGCTCTGAGAATGGGGGCGCTCTGAGGATGGGGGCGCTCTAAGGGTGGGCGCTGTGAGGATGGGGGCACTCTGAGGGTGGGGCACTCTAAGGGCGGAGCGCTCTGAGGGTGGGGCACTCTAAGGGTGGGGCACTCTAAGGGCGGAGCGCTCTGAGGATGGGGGCACTCTAAGGGTGGGGCACTCTGAGGGTGGGGCGCTCTGAGGGCAGGGTGCTCTGATGATGGGGGCACTCTAAGGGCGGGGCGCTCTGAGGGTGGGGCGCTCTGAGGGTGGGGCACTCTGAGGGCAGGGTGCTCTGATGATGGGGGCACTCTAAGATTGGGGCACTCTAAGGGTGGGGCGCACTGAGGGTGGGGCGCTCTGAGGGCAGGGTGCTCTGATGATGGGGGCGCTCTGAGGTTGGGGGCACTCTAAGGGTGGGGCACTCTGAGGGTGGGGCGCTCTGAGGGCAGGGTGCTCTGATGATGGGGGCACTCTAAGATTGGGGCACTCTAAGGGTGGGGCGCACTGAGGGTGGGGCGCTCTGAGGGCAGGGTGCTCTGATGATGGGGGCGCTCTGAGGGTGGGGGCACTCTAAGGGTGGGGCACTCTGAGGGTGGGGCGCTCTGAGGGCAGGGTGCTCTGATGATGGGGGCACTCTAAGGGCGGGGCGCTCTGAGGGTGGGGGCACTCTAAGGGTGGGGCACTCTGAGGGTGGGGCGCTCTGAGGGCAGGGTGCTCTGATGATGGGGGCGCTCTGAGGGTGGGGCGCTCTGAGGGTGGGGCACTCTGAGGGCAGGGTGCTCTGATGATGGGGGCACTCTAAGGGCGGAGCGCTCTGAGGGCGGGGCGCTCTGAGGGCAGGGCGCTCTAAGGGTGGGCGCTGTGAGGATGGGGGCACTCTAAGGGTGGGGCACTCTGAGGGTGGGGCGCTCTGAGGGCAGGGTGCTCTGATGATGGGGGCACTCTAAGGGCGGGGCGCTCTGAGGGTGGGGGCACTCTAAGGGTGGGGCACTCTGAGGGTGGGGCGCTCTGAGGGCAGGATGCTCTGATGATGGGGGCGCTCTGAGGGTGGGGCGCTCTGAGGGTGGGGCACTCTGAGGGCAGGGTGCTCTGATGATGGGGGCACTCTAAGATTGGGGCACTCTAAGGGTGGGGCACTCTGAGGGTGGGGCGCTCTGAGGGCAGGGTGCTCTGATGATGGGGGCGCTCTGAGGGTGGGGCGCTCTGAGGGTGGGGCACTCTGAGGGCAGGGTGCTCTGATGATGGGGGCACTCTAAGGGTGGGGCACTCTAAGGGCGGAGCGCTCTGAGGATGGGGCACTCTAAGGGTGGGGCACTCTAAGGGTGGGGCACTCTAAGGGCGGAGCACTCTGATGATGGGGGCACTCTAAGGGTGGGGCACTCTAAGGGCGGAGCGCTCTGAGGGTGGGGCACTCTAAGGGTGGGGCACTCTAAGGGTGGGGCACTCTAAGGGTGGGGCACTCTGAGGGTGGGGCGCTCTGAGGGCAGGGTGCTCTGATGATGGGGGCACTCTAAGGGCGGGGCGCTCTGAGGGTGGGGGCACTCTAAGGGTGGGGCACTCTGAGGGTGGGGCGCTCTGAGGGCAGGGTGCTCTGATGATGGGGGCGCTCTGAGGGTGGGGCACTCCGAGGGTGGGGCACTCTGAGGGCAGGGTGCTCTGATGATGGGGGCACTCTAAGATTGGGGCACTCTAAGGGTGGGGCGCACTGAGGGTGGGGCGCTCTGAGGGCAGGGTGCTCTGATGATGGGGGCGCTCTGAGGGTGGGGCACTCTGAGGGCGGGGCGCTCTGAGGATGGGGGCGCTCTGAGGGCAGGGCGCTCTAAGGGCGGGGCTCTCTGAGGGCGGGGCGCTCTGAGGGCGGGGCGCTCTAAGGGCAGGGCGCTCTGAGGGCGGGGCGCTCTGAGGGCGGGGACACTCTAAGGGTGGGGGCACTCTGAGGGCAGGGCGCTCTAAGGGCGGGGCTCTCTGAGGGCGGGCGCTCTGAGGATGGGGGCACTCTGAGGGCGGGGCGCTCTGAGGATGGGGGCACTCTAAGGGTGGGGGCGCTCTGAGGGCAGGGCGCTCTAAGGGCGGGGCGCTCTGATGATGGGGGCACTCTAAGGGTGGGGGCACTCTGAGGGCAGGGCGCTCTGAGGATGGGGGCACTCTAAGGGTGGGGGCGCTCTGAGGGCAGGGCGCTCTAAGGGCGGGGCGCTCTGAGGATGGGGGCACTCTAAGGGTGGGGGCACTCTGAGGGCAGGGCGCTCTAAGGGCGGGGCTCTCTGAGGGCGGGGCACTCTGAGGGTGGGGCGCTCTGATGATGGGGGCACTCTAAGGATGGGGGCACTCTTAGGGTGGGGAGCTCTGAGGGTGGGGGCACTCTAAGGGTGGGGGCACTCTGAGGGTGGGGCGCTCTGATGATGGGGGCACTCTAAGGATGGGGGCACTCTGAGGGCGGGGCGATCTGAGGATGGGGGCACTCTAAGGGTGGGGGCGCTCTGAGGGCAGGGCGCTCTAAGGGTGGGGCGCTCTGAGGGTGGGGCGCTCTGATGATGGGGGCACTCTAGGGATGGGGGCACTCTGAGGGTGGGGAGCTCTGAGGGTGGGGGCACTCTAAGGGTGGGGGCACTCTGAGGGTGGGGTGCTCTGAGGGCGGGGCGCTCTGATGATGGCGGCACTCTAAGGATGGCGGCACTCTAAGGATGGGGGCACTGTGAGGGTGGGGAGCTCTGAGGGTGGGGGCACTCTAAGGGTGGGGGCGCTCTGAGGGTGGGGTGCTCTGAAGGTGGGGTGCTCTGAGGGTGGGGGCTGATGGACCTACAGTTACACCAACACTTTCAATTGGGTTTATATTTTCCAAAATTGAGCTCAAACATCTATTTATTGAATTCATTCCTATTGCTGAGAACAGACTAAAATACACTGATATTTATCTTTATGGGTAGTTTGACATTAATGTATAAAAAAAAATTCAAAAGGATGAATATGGTCGATTCCGATGCCAACAGCCTCCCTATGCAAACAATTTCAGTTTCATTCATCCATCAATCTATGCAAAAAATGTGCATTGATGGATGTTTTCCCTTCCAGCTCCATCAGTGATCATCTTCCTTCCAAAGCAAAATTAAAATTCAGAACTTTTTCCCACATATTACTGAGAGTCAAAGTCTATGTATTGAAATTAGTTTGATCGATACCGATACCAGTATCGGACGGGGCCCCGATCCAGCTCTAAAATGGTGGTATCGGTATCAGCAAGTACCAACCAATAGGGCAGCGATACCATTTTGAGAGGCAGAAGTTTATATCAACTGTCACTCATTCCAGGTCGGTAATAAAACGTTCTACTGGATCCAGTTTGTTTTAGTCTTTTTCCTGCTTCAGTAAGGAAGGCAGCAGCTTTATAATTGAAATGATTGGTGGGGACATCTGTCCACAACCGTCCTTCAGAAAGTTATGCTGTTCTATCAGCCCAGAGATGCAGGGAGGATCTAGAGCATGCAGGGCTCTAAAAGTAACAAGGATTTTAAATTGGGTTCTATACTGGACTGGTAACCAGTGCAGAGCTGCTAAAGCTGCTGTAATGTGTTTCCTTTTCTTCATGTGAGTTAAAAGCCTTGCAGCAGTTCTGGACAAGCTGGACAACCTGGAGACGGTAAACAAACAAGTAAAAAGATTGTTGCTATAGTCTAACCATGAGGAGATCAAAGCATGAATAATTATTCCCAAATCACCCTTTGACAGCAGTGCTCTGAGTTTGGAAATATTCCTTAGTTGGAAGTAACAGCTGCTAACTAAATGTTTAGAGTGTTTCTCCAAAGACGTCGCTGAATTGAACACCTCAGCTCCTGAGGCTGAACAGCAATATGTTGCTTTATCGGAGGGATTTTACAGTTTTAGATGCGATAATTAGTGTTTCAGTTTTTCTCAGAGTTCAGAAGGAAATCTAAGTAAGTCATTTTTTCTTACAATAAGTGCATTTTTTCTTGAACTGAGCAGGTAAGTGAGATACTTTGCAAATAGAATAAGAAAATTTACATATAAAATAAAGAAAAAAAATGCAGTCTCCTATTTAAAGTGCATAATATCAAATAATCTGATTTTAAAGATAAAAATGCTCCTTCAACTGGGAGAGTTTCTTATTTACCTACTCACATTAAGGGTAAATACACTTATTTTAAGACATTTTCACAAATTTCTTGATCATTTTTGTAGTGTGTTATTGGAACAAGACCTTATTACCTTTGTAACGTTAAAAAAAGATGTATATTTTGATGGCATAAATGAATGTCAATGTAACAACAAGAAACGCCAACTTGCCCGTATATATTAAGAAAAATAACAAAAGTGCTTCTAAAAGAAATTCATGAAAAACACAGAGTAAAAGAAATGGAACTCCATTTGTAAGGGGTATGCAAGTGATCAAAAATGGTAACTTGCCCTATAAAGGGTTAAATCAGCGTCCTTGAAAGAGCAATATAGTTGAATATCGTCCGCATGTCACTGAACTGACGGATTATCTGACCGAGTGGAAGTTTGAACAGAAGAAGAAGAAGTTGAAGAGGAGGAAGTCTGCAGATGCTGCTCCCCTCAGAGAAAACAGGATCGTTCTTCTAGAATCGACGGTTAAACATTATCCTCTGAAAAACGTCTGCTTTCTTAAACTCCATCAAACTGGTAGATCAGTGGGTTTAAAACAGTAACCAGTAGTTTTCTGAAGCTGATTTAGGAGTGAAATAAAAAAACTCCTACAGAGCAGATTCAACATATTCAGGTTTATCAGCTCAGAGTCACTTAGTCTGGATCAGATGAAGGGAGAAAAACAGTTTACCACAAAATAACAGCCCTTCAGCCCAGCAGGGGGGGCTATTCCAGGTCCATTTTATGCCTTATATTGCTAAGAACATTTGCAGGTTGGTTTGTTCCAAAAGCGGTCTGTTAAAATGTGGACAAAGATGAGAGCAATGGAGAGGTTTGGAGAAAATGATCCAATCTGCCGTGATGGAGCCAACATCAGACGTTCTGGTTAACATGGCGAGGAATCAATACAATATCATCCACAAATGATCAGAGCAGATGGAGCAGGACGTCTGCTGGAGTTTTAAGACTTTTGGTTTTAATGATCTTTCCTAATCTTAAGTTTGGAAAAGTGAAATCTGTTTAGGCCGGCTTCTAGAGACACTGCACTGCAAAAAATGTAAACCTTAATAAGTCATTTTTTCTTGGATGGTAAGTGAGACACTTTGCCAATGGAACAAAACAATTTTGATTTAAATTAAGAAAAAACAATTGCAATGTCTTATTTCAAGTGCATTTTATCTAATTATCTTATTTTAAGAGTAAAAATATTATTCCATTGGCAAATCCACTGACTCACCTACTCAAATTAAGGCTAATTACACTTAATTTAAGAAATCTTTACTTATTTCTAGATTGTTTTTGCAGTGTGACAGAAAAGATGGAGGTAATATAATGTGAGAAACACTGAATTCATCACTAAAAACAACCTAAATATTGTTGATGATCAGAAAAATTTAGATAATTTACTTGGAAAAAGAAACTTAATCAGGAAAGAAAATCAGTGTTAGAGTTTCCTCCATGTCAGAGAAGTGAAGCATGATGGGAGCAGACGTCATACCTGTGAAGGCCACGGTTCCCGTCGGATCGGCGCGTAGTCTGGACCTCAGCGTCTGTCGCTGAGCCTCTGTGGGCTTCAGACCGATCAGGTCCAGAGCCTGCCACACAAACACACACGGACGGATCAATAGAGGCAGCCGGGGGGGGGGGGGGGTCCGAGTCATCGACCGGGAGCTGCGCTGATGCGTTTCTCCTCACGTGTTCAGAGGTCACAGCCTGAACAGTTCTAGTCCATTCCCAGCATTTAATCCCAGTTTGCTCTGGATTCATGAAGCGGTTAGCAGTGAACGCTGTTAAAGTCACGTTCACAACCAGATTTCAGCCATTAGGAAGTTTTTATCACGTTTTCATCATTAAATGTTTTTCTCCTCGTCCATAAAAACTGCTGCATGCTTTTAGAGCTTTAATCAACCTGCGTTTTTAGAACGTTTATCTAATCCTGACACTGATGATGCTGAAGGATGAAGATTAGGAGTCTCCTTCTGCCTCCTGAAGCAGTGATTCTCAGTCGGGGGTACTCCACAGATGCATGGCCCAACAGAGAAGAGCGCCCTCCTCTGGACAAGACTGCCGTCCATCTACTCCTGATGGACAAAGGACATTCTTTGGAGGACCAGAATGTTCACATTTTGGACAAAGAAGTCCAACCTTAAACAGACGGACAGCTTTACAGGAGAACAGAAGACCTCACCTATTCATCCAGGCCAACTATTCTCTCTAACGACCCCCCTTTCAGAGACATAGACAGGTATGGGGCATTGCAGGCTAACAAAGAAGCCAAACGACCCCCATTCCAAAGGGGGGGACCCGTTCATCCTTCTCTATTTGCATGTTTTCTAAACTAAAACCAGGCTTTGTTGGGCTGCTGGATAAAACCTGGAACTGTTGGGATCTGGAGATCTGCCACCTGTCTCCAGCAGAGAGCGCTGTGGGTCTCCTGGGCTGGAGCCTCCAGCACACCTGAGGATCATCAGCCCATCAGGAGACCTCCTACATAAGCAGCAGCCAGACCTGTCTTCGGCGCCGGAGTGTTGACCAGTTTTGGTTAGCGGAACCTGAGCCTCTGTTAACTTCGAGAATCTCTGTCTGCTCTAGAGAGTAACTAGATTCTAACCAGCCTCTGTCTTCTCTGCTCACAGGAAAGCCCGACTGAAGTCTGTAGCTCTGGAGGAGCTTTGCTTGGAAACCTGCCTGCCTGCCCAAGGAAGCCAAACCTAAAGACATTCAGTCTGAATTCCCCAGCTAGTCCTCAAGGGAGGACTAGGAAGTCAACTCAAGGTCTGAACCTCGTGAGCCTGAAGCTAGACGCTGCTGCTGCTGCTGAGCTCTATGCTGAATCCACAGTCTCTGGACCCAACCGGTTCCCTCTCTCCATCGATCAGTCTGAACCTCATCAAGGTAAACCAGAATCGAACCCCTGACAAGGCATCACCGCTGCCTGGCTAACCAAACTATTCATCTCTGCAGATTACTCTGTGATTCCAGTCCCGGACCAGTACCAGAACCTGCTCATTAATAACTCTTGTGTGCTTCTCTCAATAAACTGTTAAACTTTTACCCCGTTTCCTGTGGTGTTCTGCATGTGGGTTTAAACTCAGAGACCCATCATGACAGGAACTCAACGCTATTTCTGACATTTTGGATTGAAAAATCTTCCTGGATGGAAGAGAAACGTCTTCAAACGTCTTTTTTTGGACCAAGCAGAGGAACAGACTGGATGTAGAGAACAGCCTGGGATCAGCTGCTTTTCACACTGAGCTACGATGAAAAGTTAAAACAGTCTGACTCTGATTTTTGTTCAGTATTTTGTTCCCAATTCATCCAGTTTAAATGTGATTATAATGGAGTCACTCAGAGGAGCTCCAGTTTTATAAATACAGGTTTAGATTGTGATTTTATTTTGATTTTCACTAACTTGCAAGCAACATACTAAAGCATAGAATGCCAATGAGTTAAATTCTTAAATTAATAGATGAAGTAAAATAAATTTTTATTTTATAACCAGTTATTTTACATTTCACTTTAGGTGGTGGTGGTGGTCTGGGTCTCTGACCAATGAAAATGTTTCTTTGGATCAAACTTTTTATTTAATCGTTTCCCAGGAGATAAAGTTTAGATTAAACGTTTGAACTGAGCTGCGTTCACCAGCTCTGCCTGCTGAGACTGTAAATCAGTCGGGACTCTTTGAGTCCAGAGGTTTCTGTGATCAGGTCAGTCTGGAAGCAGCTGGCAGTGAGGAAGAGGAAGAGCGACTGTTAGGATTATTCAATGATGATTATAAAATTAATGTGTGCTTATAAAACATTTGATGCTGCGCTCCTGTGTCATGATCCAGTCAGGAGACCATCCTGCCGTGTCATTCTGTCTTTATGAACTGATCAATTGTTCTGTCAGAACAATACTCTGTCTGTAACCATGCATCATGTTCTGTTAATAAATGCTCTGCAGAGGAGGTCCAGTGGGAGACAGTTTGTTTGAGTCTGGGGTTCAACTGTCTCTCCTTTCTGCAGGAATTGTATCCATAATTCTTCTTTTGCAAACCTGCATGTATGAACCCGGCAGCGACCGCCCACTGACCTGCTCCAGTCTCTCCAGTTTGAAGCGGCAGCTGGAACTGAGCGAACATTTCCTCTGAGGAGGCTGACTGCTCCCACAATCTGAAACACAGGTTTAAATCTCTGTTACGCTCAAACTTTCATTCTTTTTGCACTTTTATTGGGAGTTCAAATCAGATTTAAAATCCAGCAGTAAAATATTCTTATTCCACTGATTCCTCACGTCGCTCTGAAAAGCTGTTAATATGTTTGTTCTGCTGAGCTTTAATTACTGCTGCAACATAAATTACATCCCATCCACAAATATGATCATCAGTGACTCACAGGGTATCTTAACGGAGAAGGAAAACTAAAATAAAGTACATGAAATCATAAAATGCATATTTTCCAGCATAGTGAGCTGGTTTTACTGGGAGCGTCTTCGGTCGTGACGTCGATGTTTGAACATATGGAGGGAGACCTCAGGATTCCTCTCACACAGAGACTGGATGGAGCTTCACGCCTCTGAGGCCAATCACAGCCCAGACCTCCCGCCCGCATCACTTCCTCCCTCCTCATTCAACCATCTGCTTTGATGGTTGGTGTGATGAAGAGACACGCGTCACTCAGCGAATCTCAGCGTTCGGCGAGAGAAAAGACGAATGGAGCAGAGGGGGAAGTTGCTTCTGCAGGTTTTTATTCATTTCTGCAGCTTTTTGGTTCCTAAGCAACAAAAAAAGCTGGAAAGATGCTTTTAGCTGAAGAAATACACCCGTTTTATTTCAGAGGCTTTATAACCTTTTTGAAGAAGCTCCTCCCCCTCTGCTGCCACAGATTCACAGAGTTGTCAATATGTGTGGAAGAAAAACGGGAAATAAATTTGTTAAAATTCATATCTTTATGTTTAAGTCTAAATTTTAATTAATTTCACGAGGTGGTGAGGTAACCTAGGTAACCTGGATGGGAACCTATAGAATTATTCATCTTTCAAAGTTTAGTAGATTTTCACTCTAAGCTAGAAATGAAAACTTTTAATTTGAAATTTCTCTAATTGTTACTTCCTGTTCTGCTGCTGCCTATAACCACTGATCTCTATTTACTCTATTGCTGATTGGCCGAAAAGAGTGAAGCCACCGTCCGCCATATTGGTACTCCCACGGAGACATGCAGTAAAACGCCTCCCTGTTCAGCATCTGGCTGCTAAAACCAGCAGTTTTCTGTCTGCAGGAAGACGTTCCACTGGTAATTTCCCAGTCAGTGGATGAACTAAGCAATAAATCCATCTATATCTGATGGATCCTGTAGTTTAGTCTGTAGACTAACATTAGTCTGGCTATCTGAGACTGACTGGAAGACATTGACTGAGTTAGACGGTGACATTGGGTCTAACGTTAGAAAATAGAGGAAATAGAAAGTAATTCACTGTGAAATGTTAATGTAGGGATTCTTTATTCAGTGGATGATGCTGTTTTTCTCATTTGAAAAAGTAATGTGCTGAAATATATTGCATGTTATATTAACGGGGAAAAAAACTCAACATTCGACGTAATGACATAATGTAAAATGTTACATATAAGATGTAATTACCGTAACATGTCTAGTACATGTACATCATTAATTTATCACCTTTGGCTCGTCTGTATTATTCTGCTTCAGTAACACATTCATTTTATTGTATAATATGTTATATTAGATGATTTATTGACTTCATTGACTTCATAATGACTATTCAATGTGATGGACTTATTTTTTTATTCTAAGTTAAAGTTAATCTTCTGATGCTATGAAGCAGCCAGTCTCTGTCAAACTGATGAATTTATCTTTATTTTAAAAGTCTTAAGTCCCTGAAAATGAGAACATCATTGTTGTCCGATGCTGTAGCACACAGATTGTTTATATTGCGACCGGTCTAACTAGGGAGTACCAATATGGCGGCTGGTGGCTTCACCTCAACCCCGTACTACCAACAGGCAATGATTTCTCAGTATGAACTGAAACTCACCGGGGTTCGGGTCGCCGCTGGAGTCGCTCGACGCTACTGAGGAGACGCCTGGCTGCTCGGGTCGCACCGGAGAAACTCGCACCTGGAAGCAAACAAGTCGTCATGAAGAAACATCTGGAAATGTTTGAAATGTTTCCTGTCAGTGAAATCAGCAGGTCTGGTCCTGAACATGCAGCCTCTGACCTGCGTGACGTTGACCGGCGGCAGCGTCTCACAGGGGGGGTTCCTGCTGGAAGTGATCTTTGTGAGCACAGCTGGCTGCGGAGCCCCCGGCCCAGGGGCCTTAGCCTGGGGCCCGGCTCCAAAGCCCTGCAGACAGACAGGACTGTGGGAACCGCTGCTAGAGCTGGACGACGACCGCCGCCGGATGAAGGCGATCTCTACCGTCGGATCTGGTCTGAAACACACCAGGAAGTTTTCCCCGTTAAGATCAGACCGAATCGCCTGTCAGTCCGTCTGGTTCGGTTTGCATCGCACCTGAGCTTGGTGCGGTTCAGGATGCTCCGGACCTCCTCGTACGTCACTCCGATCAGAGACTCCTTGTTGATGGACACCAGCTGGTCTCCCACCTGCAGCCGGCCGTCCTGCAACAGAAACCCAGGAATGATGAGGCGCTGCTGGGGACCAGGCCACCAGGACCAGTCCCAGCAATCCGTCTGAGATCTGCTCATCAGAGGAATAATAATATTTATGAACAAGCTGCAGTAACAGAATGAACACAATCGTAACCAGTCTCTAACCGTCACAGAAAACATTTGGTTCTTCAAAGATTCTTCTCGTTATTCAAAGGCGACTAGAGAGAACATCTGAAGTGGTGAAAATCCTGCTTGTTGCCCAGAGCTGGCTGCACCGTTTAAATATTAATATTATTAATAATTGAACTTTATTGATGTCCTGCGATGGACTGGCGACCTGTCCAAGTGGACCCCGCCTCTCGCCCATAAACAGCTGGAGTTTAGCACCAGCAGCCCTGGTGACCCCAGCAGGGAAAATCCTCTGGACTTTGTTTCCAAGTCTGAAGACGTTTCTCTTCCATCCAGGAAGATTTTTCAATTCAAAATGTCAGAAATAGGGTTAAGTTCCAGGTTTTTAACGTCATCTCCTGGTCAGACTCTGTAATTCAGTGAAAGGGGGGAGTCAGAGTAAAACAATGTGCAGGAGGGGGTCGCTGCAGCGGCTGGAAGTTGGAGGGAAGTGGGCTGCGGTTTGGCTGGCGTTGGACTGGGAAGGACCGTTTCATGTCTGCTGTACCTGGGGGTCTACACACTGAAGCGTATGGTGCCTTAAAAAAGGAAATATCCAATCCTACTCATCAGGAGGGATACCTGACCACCCCCACCCCGAAAAAAAAAAGAATTTAAAGTCGTAAACCTTGTAAAACCGTCACTTTGTTACTTTGATGTTACCTATGTTACATTTAGCTGATCTTTGGTTTTACTTTTCTTCTGTTTCTTTGATGTTTATCATGAAGCTGCTGCAGAGTTTAACCACGAGGAGCTGCTTCATGTCAGCATTAAAAAAAGGCCTGAATTGGATCAGAAACAGGAATAATAATCATAGTTATTTGAGTTGATTTGAACTATTTTTGAGTAAAATCAGTTAAAATTTGTACCTCTTTAGGAATTTCTGCACATTACTGTATTACCTGGTCCGTCCACAGGGACTGTTATACATCGGGTCACATTAAAGCAGATATTTCCAGATAGAAGGATGTTTTTTTTCCCAGGACCTGTTCCTGTTTGGCTGTGACTCCATCCTGGAGAGAAGTATCAGCTGTGCTGCTGCCATCAACACCTTTGTTTCTAGATGTTGGAGCTTGGCCTGTTTTCCAGTGTAGTCCTGTTTCTCTGACTGTGACTAACTGGATGTGCTCTCTTCATCCTCTGACATGGAAGCTGGCTCGGAGCTCGTCTGCCTGGCTGTGTGTTTCCTGGACGGGGCCGCCTGTGGAGCTGGTTGACAGTTGCCTTTTGTATCTATGCTTCTTTTTCTATGTCTGCTTCTGTCTCCTTGAACCCCAGTGGGCCTCAGCAGATGGCCGCTCACACTGAGCCTGGTTCTGCTGGAGGTTTCTTCCTGTTCAAAGGGAGTTTTTCCTCTCCACTGTCGCTACAAGCATGCTTAGTGTGAGGGATTGCTGAAGAGTCAATGAGTCGATGCAATCAGCTGGTTTTCCTTAGATAGAAAACTTTGAATCAATCTGACTGGATGATCTGGTGAACTGGAAAGTGACCTGAGATGACATGATGGGAATTGGAGCTATAGAAATAAACTGCATAGAACTGAATTGACCGTCTTAAACTCTCTGGTCGAGCTTTAACTCAGCCCAGAGGTTCCAGTTGTTCTCTAGCTGTTTGTTTAATGCTGTTTCTAACCTCTGGAGCCTTCAGAGAGCAGCTGGATGGATGATAAAGCATAAAATAACGGCAGGCTGGATTTCAGGAACCTGTCAGAGTAAAATGGACCAAAAATAAACCTGTTCCCAATCAACTACTTCAATAGGCGTGAAAACTTTTAGTCACTGTGTAAATATTTCAGACATTAAACACAATCTCCTCCTCCTCCTCCTCCTCCTCCTCCTCCTCCTCCTCCTCCTCCTCCTCCTCCTCCTCCTCCTCCTCCTCCTCCTCCTCCTCCTCCTGCTCCTCCTCCTCCTCCTCCTCCTCCTCCTCCTCCTCCTCCTCCTCCTCCTCCTCCTCCTCCTCCTCCTCCTCCTCCTCCTCCTCCTCCTCCTGCTCCTCCTCCTCCTCCTGCGCCTCCTCCTCCTCCTCCTCCTGCGCCTCCTCCTCCTCCTGCGCCTCCTCCTCCTCCTCCTCCTCCTCCTCCTCCTCCTCCTCCTCCTCCTCCTCCTCCTCCTCCTGCTCCTCCTCCTCCTCCTCCTCCTCCTCCTCCTCCTCCTCCTCCTCCTCCTCCTCCTCCTCCTCCTCCTCCTCCTCCTCCTCCTCCTCCTCCTCCTCCTCCTCCTCCTCCTCCTCCTCCTCCAGCGGCGAGCAGCCTCTGACCTTGTGGCAGTCTCCTCCAGGCACTATTTCCTGAATGAACACCATTGGTCCTTCGGGTCTGTTGGCTCCACCCTTGACCATGAGTCCCAGGCCTGTTCCCTTGGCAACACATATCAACTGAATGACGCTGTCGCTGTGGGAAGAGAGGAAGAGACGGCGGGATGACAGAGATTAAACCGTGAGCTCCAAGTCAGCTTAATCTTCATCCATCCGCTGCTTCTAAACTGCTGAAGATGCTTTTCTCTATTTTTAGTTTGGCTGCAGCTTCCATGCAGCTCGGAGACACTTGGACCGATTTTTAGGCCGCTAAATGAATCCACACTCAGGGGTGAGAATAAATGGAGGATTTTGATCCTTGATGGATAAAATTTAACTTGTTTCTTTAAAACGTTGCCCTAAAACTCTTCAGTATTTTCCCAGAGCCCAAATTAAAACTTTATTTTCAGAATAAAGAAATGATTTCTGCAGTTTTAGACCTATTTGGCTCCTCATGCTTATAGGCAGTGATGTCAACAGTATTAATGTTTATTCCTGCAGTATAAATCCAGCTGTTTAAAAACACTTTTGTAGAAGTTAGAGGATCAGCTTCAGCTTTTTACTTCAGTAAAAGTCTAAAAGTACCATTTTGAAAAGTAAAAGTAATGCAGTGGGCTCTTAATGGAATAGCCAAAGTCCAGGATTTGTATCCAGCAGGTTCAATTTATATGATGTCATTTGAAGAACTCAGGCAAAAATTTAACATACATAGAAAATACTTTTTTAAATATCTTCAACTTAGAAGTTATATCAGGACAAAACAAAGTAATGATATAACCCAACCACCAAAATCCAATTTAGAAGAAATGGCCTGCAAAGATAGCTCAAGCAAAGGTGCAATTTCAGAATTTTATAAATTAATAAGTTCAATTTCATTAGAAAATTCAGTTCTAAAATTAGATGCATGGAAGGAGGATTTAGGGATAAATTTGTCAGCGGAGGAATGGCAGTCTGTCTGCACTAAGGCCCATAAACAAACAATTAGTTCACGCTTAAGGCTTCTACAGTATAAGTGGTTAATGCGAGTTTATGTTACACCAGTTAAATTAAACAGGTATAATTTTAATATGCCAGATACATGCACAAAATGCTCTGACGAAAAGGGTACATTGTTTCATTGCTTCTGGGAATGCAGGGCAATTAGGATTTTTTGGAGAGAAGTAAAAGAAACTATAGAACAACTAGTTTCAAAAGAAATTCCTCTGAATCCTGTTTTTTCATTCTGGGTTTATATCCCAAAAATATTAAATATACCAAATGTGAACAGTTATTGATCGATATATGTCTGTTACAATCTAAACGTCTAATTGCACTTTTCTGGAAGAAATCGGCAACACCAACTATCAGGCACTGGGTCAGACAAATGTTGACAACTTTACCCCTGGAACGTATAACCCATCTCCTAAAAGGAAAAGGTGACCTATTTGAAAATATATGGGGACCCTTTATGACTTTTGTGGAAGGTATGGACTTATCTGAAGACGACGAGGACAATTAAGTAACACCAGCTTGGAAATCTGGCTGATATCGGAGCCTTTGTTACCAGTTTGTGTCTTTTGCTGAAAAAAGTGTAAAAGTATTCAAATGCAGATGTGTATCTGAGAGGGTATTTGTTTGTTTGTTTTTTGTTTTTTTTTGGTATGGTTCTTGTATTTGTTTATACAGTATGTATAATGGTTGAAAATAATAAAAATATTGATGGAAAAAAAAAAAAGTAATGCAGTAAAAACTGTTAATGCCAGAAGCTTTACTGCTCCTCCCTATTAAAGGAACATTTTTCTACCATTCTGGATGATAAATTCCTTAGACTTAATTTTCATAGTTTTATAATGCATCATCATCTGGAAAAACGATTTATTTTGGTTTGTGGTGAGTAACAGGTTGGGGCAGCACCGAGTCCAACCACAAAGAAATTAATTGTCTGGATAAAACTTATTATTTTGATGGTTTTTATTCTTTTTAAACACCCACAGACCAGAATGAAAATGAGCTTAAATGAAACTAAACTAAAGAGTCTATTTTTAAATGTAGGGGTAGAAGGAAAAAGTTGTCAAAAAAGTAATGACTCCAGTGAATTATAGAGAGCCGACACTTCTACTTAAGCTAACAAAGTGTTTGTACTTTGATTCCTCTGCTGGCATAAGATGAGGCAATAATTCATGCCCAGATCCGCCACCAGAGGGCAGACGTGCTGGCATGCAGAGTGACAAACAGAAAGCATCTTCAGCCAGCAGTAATCAACCCAGAAAGGGTTTTCACTCCACCTACCTGAAGGCGTGTGTGGGCATGTGCACGGCGTAGGCGGGGGCATAATGTGGAGCGTGGCTGTAGGCGGTGATCCCTTCTTTAGGACTGAGCAGCTGGGGGCTCTCTGACCGCGAGGAAGAGGAGGAGGAGGCCGTGTCGGTCAGCTTCCCTGAAGAGAAACAAGAGAAGAAGAAAGTCAGGAGCAACAGGTTGTGAAGTGGAGAAAACACATCTATTGAATCTAGTTCTACAGCGAGTGAGGACAGGAGATTCTAAGAACAAACTTTAAAATTCAGATGGGGGAAAGAAACAAGACGGAAGAAGAACAGCCATGAGTGAACCAGGAGATCTACTGTAGATTATTTCTGCAGTTTTTAAAGGAAGCAACATGTTGACAGTCATTTCCAACTAGTTGCCCTCAGAGGAGCAGCAACCTCCTGCTGTCTAGGTTGCATTTTCTGTCTGCATGACATTCAGGTGCAAAAGTTTGTCCAGAGGGAGGATCATGATCCCGAGCTCTGGATGAAGATTGGCAGAAGAATCTTAAATATTCCAACAGAATCTCCAGGCTTTGCATCCATGAGGTCTGATACCTGTTTCTGGACAGCAGGTGGAAGTTTCACATAATCCATCGAATTTGTGGGTGAAGGGGGGGGGGGGGGATTTACCACTAGGGCCCCAAGTTCCTGGGGGGCCCATAAAACTCTGTTTCCATGTATGGTTAATACAACTATTCCTTATTTGTGCACATTAATGACGTTTTTGGCTAAAATGCCATCAGAACGCTGATAATATTAAGTGTGTCTCAGCCCCCCCCTTCAGTGTCCACCATATTGGATCAGTCCATTTGCTGCACATGTTCAGAAAGGTCCAAACAGACAGCAGCAAACCATTTGAAAACAAACCATGCAAAGAGCAGTGTTGCCAACTTAGCGCTTTAGTCGCTATATTTAGCCACTTTTCAGACCCCTCTAGCACTTTGATTTCTAAAAAGCTCCTAGCGCCAAATCTAGAGACTTTTTTCTGCTACTGGAGACTTTGGAGACAACATCTAAAAGCAGCGAACTCTGCTCTCCAGAGCGAGTAGATTGGTAACCCCGCCTCCTGCTCTCCTCTATCTTGTCTGCTGTCATGATTCATGAGACATTCATGATTCCTTTAGAGACAGCATGAAAAGTCAGCTGAGTACAAAACATAGAGAGGAAAACAAGAAGAAAAGGGACAAGAAGAGAGGGACACAACCTAGAACAGATAATGGATGTCTATTCTATTAACATTTCTACATCTGGAGAATGGGGCTGTTTTATGTATTGTCTTCTCAGTTCAGAGGGGCCCCTGCCTGTCTCTGCCTAGGGCCCCACATTTCCTAAATCCGCCCCTGTTCACAGGTGGCTTTGAAATAAAAACAAGTTTTCTCTGAATGTATTTAATGTCATGATGTTTGCTGAAGCCGTCACCTTCCAGCAACCTTTAGATCTTGGTTGTGAGCTGTGGCGGCTCAGAGAAGCGGGACTTACCAGTGGACAGCTGTGTTGGAGAGATTCTTCCTGACGCCGTGACGTTATTGGAGCCGTATTTCTCCATCAGCTCAGCGAACTCCCTCCTGAGGGACACGCAGACACGTCATGCTTTCATTCCTCCACTAAACCCATCAGAATAACTCATCAAACATTTACAGATGTTTGCTTGGGAAATAAATGTCCTTCACACCCTGCAAATTACCTGGACCTCCGCTAACTCCTCTGTCCCCCTCTGCAGTGAACCCAGTCGTAACCAGTCTTGGATCTGTTACCCCCCTGACCTGTTTATTGTACAAACTCTTTAATAAACCTTTGAACTTTTTTCCCAGTCTCTTGAGTGTTCTGCATTTGGGTTAGGAACCAGAAACCAAACATGACACTCTGGTGGTCTGCTCTATACGTTGTGGGTCTAGATACGGCCAAGGCGGTGAGGAAGTGGGGGCGAGTTTGTCTGCCAACGGAGGGACATGAAAAAGAGCGGGGATCCAGGTGGAAAAAGGGTCCCAGCGTTCTTGCGCACCTCGCTCTTCTAGCGGGTCAAACTTCACGAGTTGTTTTCTGCAATTTTGGTCATAAAAACAAAACAAGCCGACTTCCTGTCAGCGGTCAGTGTGGGAGAGGAGCAGCGGAGCGTCTGCAGAGGGGGCGGGGACGTCTTTTTGTTCACTGCGACGCCTACGCAGACGACCTGGTTTCGAAGTATAAATCAGCCTTAAAGGAATAGTACACCCAAAACATGATTAGCCTTCATTTTCTACTCACCCCCATGCTGAACAACACTCTGGAGTACTTTTTTGATATCTCAAATGCATCTGGAGATCTGGGAGGCTTCTTGCTGTCTGCTGACATTCAAATAATGGAGGTCTATGGCGCCCGAGGCAGAAAGGTCCATAAAAGTCCACAAAAAACGTGTCAATATTCCTCCATACTGCTCGTCCAATGTATTCCAGGTGTCCTGAGTGCGTAGCATCCAGAATTTACTCGAAACGAAGTCAGAATGTTTTTAGAGCATAGACAGTAGTGTATAGGATTTCCTAAACGCGCGTTCACGAGTCTACGGAAACCTCGGCAGACCAAACCAGATGAAAGTGCGCATTCAGCTCGGCAAAGAACTCATGCTCTTCCTCAACACTGAAGTCCTCAGACATTTTTCTTTCGTTGTTTCTTTCTTTGCACAGGTAAACAGCACATTTCTTCTTCTACGCTTGCATTATCGGCAGAGCAGACGCTGAATGCGCACTTTCATCTGGTTTGGTCTGCCGCGGTTTCCGTAGACTCGTGAACGCGCTTTCAGGAAATCCTATACACTACTGTTTATGCTCTAAAAACATTCTAAATGACTTCGTTTCGAGTAAATTCTGGACGCTACCCACTCAGGACACTTGGAATACATTGGACGAGCAGTATGGAGGAATATTGACACGTTTTTTGTGGACTTTTATGGACCTTTCTGCCTCGGGCGCCATAGACCTCCATTATTTGAATGTCAGCAGACAGCAAGAAGCCTCCCAGATCTCCAGATGCATTTGAGATATCAAAAAAGTACTCCAGAGTGTTGTTCAGCATGGGGGTGAGTAGAAAATGAAGGCTAATCATGTTTTGGGTGTACTATTCCTTTAAGGAAGCAGCTGCTCTTTGTCACCCCCACCCTTAAGTCCACAGGATTTCTCTAACGTTCCTATCAGACCAGTAAATAAACATTCTTTCACTGTCAGCCTCACCTCCTGCTTCCTCCTCAGTCCAACATTCAAACCGACTGCAGGAACCAGGAGCTGGAGCTGCCTCACATCCCCCCATTGATCTGATTGGAGTCAGTTCTTCCCTCAGGTAAACTGTGCTCGCAGTTATTATTATGCTAACAGAGGCAGAACTCCAGCTTCTCACCTGGCGACTATTTGTCCTCAGATCATGGTTTAAAACAGTGAGTGACAGACAGTCTAATCCTCACAGCCTGAGTTTATCTGGGCGACCTCCCCTCAGTCTGCAGGTCACCATTTGTTTGAAGCGTGAAACTGCTTATAGTAGCGATGGGGGGGGGTATGCTCCACAGCTTTCGTAACAGGAAGGACGGACGCCAACAGACAGAGGTGAGGTGACCTTCTCTCTGCGCTCTAAGCCACCAGCTCCATCTGTTCGGCTGCAGAGCGTGACCCTCAGTGAGGACACAGACTGTTTTTGCTTCATTTGGGAATGCTGCTGTTGTTTGGGATCAATAAAAGGATTATCCCTCTGCGTTTTCTAGCTGACTGAAGCACTAAGACTTTATTCACACAGAAAAACACAGAAACACGACGTGAGCTTCGTGCAAGGCTGAGTTTAGATGCTTACGTTCAGACGCTGCAGAGTTTAGTCATTTAAAGGAGAACATTCAGAAGTCTGCAGAATTTAGTCATTTAAAGGAGAACATTCAGAAGTCTGCAGAGTTTAGTCATTTAAAGGAGAACGTTCAGAAGTCTGCAGAGTTTAGTCATTTAAAGGAGAACGTTCAGACGTCTGCAGAGTTTAGTCATTTAAAGGAGAACGTTCAGAAGTCTGCAGAATTTAGTCATTTAAAGGAGAACGTTCAGAGGTCTGCAGACTTTAGTCATTTAAAGGAGAACATTCAGAAGTCTGCAGAGTTTAGTCATTTAAAGGAGAACGTTCAGAAGTCTGCAGAGTTTAGTCATTTAAAGGAGAACATTCAGAAGTCTGCAGAGTTTAGTCATTTAAAGGAGAACGTTCAGAAGTCTGCAGAATTTAGTCATTTAAAGGAAAACGTTCAGAAGTCTGCAGAGTTTAGTCATTTAAAGGAGAACGTTCAGAAGTCTGCAGAGTTTAGTCATTTAAAGGAGAACGTTCAGAAGTCTGCAGAGTTTAGTCATTTAAAGGAGAACGTTCAGAAGTCTGCAGAGTTTAGTCATTTAAAGGAGAACGTTCAGAAGTCTGCAGAGTTTAGTCATTTAAAGGAGAACATTCAGAAGTCTGCAGAGTTTAGTCATTTAAAGGAGAACGTTCAGAAGTCTGCAGAGTTTAGTCATTTAAAGGAGAACATTCAGAAGTCTGCAGAGTTTAGTCATTTAAAGGAGAACATTCAGAAGTCTGCAGAGTTTAGTCATTTAAAGGAGAACATTCAGAAGTCTGCAGAGTTTAGTCATTTAAAGGAGAACGTTCAGAAGTCTGCAGAGTTTAGTCATTTAAAGGAGAGCGTTCAGAAGTCTGCAGAGTTTAGTCATTTAAAGGAGAACATTCAGAAGTCTGCAGAGTTTAGTCATTTAAAGGAGAACGTTCAGAAGTCTGCAGAGTTTAGTCATTTAAAGGAGAACGTTCAGAAGTCTGCAGAGTTTAGTCATTTAAAGGAGAGCGTTCAGAAGTCTGCAGAGTTTAGTCATTTAAAGGAGAACATTCAGAAGTCTGCAGAGTTTAGTCATTTAAAGGAGAACGTTCAGAAGTCTGCAGAGTTTAGTCATTTAAAGGAGAACGTTCAGACGTCTGCAGAGTTTAGTCATTTAAAGGAGAACGTTCAGAAGTCTGCAGAATTTAGTCATTTAAAGGAGAACGTTCAGAGGTCTGCAGACTTTAGTCATTTAAAGGAGAACATTCAGAAGTCTGCAGAGTTTAGTCATTTAAAGGAGAACGTTCAGAAGTCTGCAGAGTTTAGTCATTTAAAGGAGAACATTCAGAAGTCTGCAGAGTTTAGTCATTTAAAGGAGAACGTTCAGAAGTCTGCAGAGTTTAGTCATTTAAAGGAGAACGTTCAGAAGTCTGCAGAGTTTAGTCATTTAAAGGAGAATGTTCAGAAGTCTGCAGAATTTAGTCATTTAAAGGAAAACGTTCAGAAGTCTGCAGAGTTTAGTCATTTAAAGGAGAACGTTCAGAAGTCTGCAGAGTTTAGTCATTTAAAGGAGAACGTTCAGAAGTCTGCAGAGTTTAGTCATTTAAAGGAGAACGTTCAGAAGTCTGCAGAGTTTAGTCATTTAAAGGAGAACGTTCAGAAGTCTGCAGAGTTTAGTCATTTAAAGGAGAACATTCAGAAGTCTGCAGAGTTTAGTCATTTAAAGGAGAACGTTCAGAAGTCTGCAGAGTTTAGTCATTTAAAGGAGAACATTCAGAAGTCTGCAGAGTTTAGTCATTTAAAGGAGAACGTTCAGAAGTCTGCAGAGTTTAGTCATTTAAAGGAGAACATTCAGAAGTCTGCAGAGTTTAGTCATTTAAAGGAGAACGTTCAGAAGTCTGCAGAGTTTAGTCATTTAAAGGAGAGCGTTCAGAAGTCTGCAGAGTTTAGTCATTTAAAGGAGAACATTCAGAAGTCTGCAGAGTTTAGTCATTTAAAGGAGAACGTTCAGAAGTCTGCAGAGTTTAGTCATTTAAAGGAGAACATTCAGAAGTCTGCAGAGTTTAGTCATTTAAAGGAGAACATTCAGAAGTCTGCAGAGTTTAGTCATTTAAAGGAGAACGTTCAGAAGTCTGCAGAGTTTAGTCATTTAAAGGAGAACGTTCAGAAGTCTGCAGAGTTTAGTCATTTAAAGGAGAACGTTCAGAAGTCTGCAGAGTTTAGTCATTTAAAGGAGAACATTCAGAAGTCTGCAGAGTTTAGTCATTTAAAGGAGAACGTTCAGAAGTCTGCAGAGTTTAGTCATTTAAAGGAGAACATTCAGAAGTCTGCAGAGTTTAGTCATTTAAAGGAGAACATTCAGAAGTCTGCAGAGTTTAGTCATTTAAAGGAGAACGTTCAGAAGTCTGCAGAGTTTAGTCATTTAAAGGAGAACGTTCAGAAGTCTGCAGAGTTTAGTCATTTAAAGGAGAACATTCAGAAGTCTGCAGAGTTTAGTCATTTAAAGGAGAACGTTCAGAAGTCTGCAGAGTTTAGTCATTTAAAGGAGAACATTCAGAAGTCTGCAGAGTTTAGTCATTTAAAGGAGAACGTTCAGAAGTCTGCAGAGTTTAGTCATTTAAAGGAGAACATTCAGAAGTCTGCAGAGTTTAGTCATTTAAAGGAGAACGTTCAGAAGTCTGCAGAGTTTAGTCATTTAAAGGAGAACATTCAGAAGTCTGCAGAGTTTAGTCATTTAAAGGAGAACGTTCAGAAGTCTGCAGAGTTTAGTCA